ACTTTTCCCTGCTGTTGCTAACATATTTTTGATATTAAAAGAATATATACTAATAGAGCTCTCTCTACCGTCGACGGTTGCATTATTATGTGTGTTAACCATTATCCAGTTTTTAGTTTAAATTTTGGTCTGATCCGGTACTTCATCCAGATATCTCTTACATACATATAAAGAAGTTGAAATGAAGATAATTTTCCTTCTCTCTAACATAAAAAAATAAAACGAAAAGAAAAAAGAAAGAAAGTGGACTATAAGAAATAGACGGAAACACATACTTGTATATGTACTATATACACCTATCAGTTTGAACCTGTTGAACTAATAGAAGAAAAGAAGGAAAGGACTAAACTTCATGACCTTAGAATGTTAAACAATTAGCTATCTGACTAAAACAACGTTAATTAAATACCTGTAAGAATATGTTTATCAATATCAGGCAGTGTTTTTAAGGGCACCCCTTTCCGGCGTTTTTGGAGAACGGTACATCAGAAAATTTTGAAACTTTCTGAGCAGATAGATCTAGAGGAGCAGAGCAAATGTCTTGCTAGACTTAGAATTCTCAGATGCTGTTTTCAGTAAGATTTTAGGGTCTCAAGGTGTAACAACGTCTCCCCTTTTCGCCCCCGTTTCTCCGCCATGATACGTTCGATCGAGCTGAAATTTTTTCTGTAGGTACTAGACATTGTTTGGGGTGCGTAATTATTTTTATTTCTTTCAATCTTCTTCTTTCAACAAAAAAAACCCGAAATACTGAAATCACCCTAAAAAAGAACCAATTTTCTCTTAGAGCGAATTTTGTTGAATCCGCCGAAAATCAACAGAGCAATATTTTTTGAAACGAAAGCAAATACGCACCTGAAACAATGTCTAGTACCTGCAGAAAAAAATTCAGCTCAATCCAGCGTACTATGACGGAGAAACGGGGGCGATTCTACAGATTTTTTTGGAAAAAATTGATTGTGAGAAAAACGAAAAACAAAATGAAGTTCACTTTTCCTTCGAATACCCATCGCTCTCTTTACCCTATTGAAGTTTTCCAGAGGAAAACTTTTCGAAGAAGAAAGAGCATATACTACCACCAGTCATTTTACAACTCATAAGGCTTCGCTTCCCAGAACATCTTGAACTGCACAATCCTCCTAGCTCCGGGTATGATGTCTCCTTGGAACAATTTGTCAAATGGACGAAAAATGAACGCTAACACTCATATTCTAATCTACTCCATCCAGATCAGTCGTAGATGAGTGACGTATTTCTTTTTGATTATGACTGTCATTCTTTTACTCAAAAGAAAGGAAATGAAACAGAGAGAGCACATCATTCCGAGAATACTGACTCAGTGCACAGGAATGAGAGAAGTTTTCGACGTCAAAAATACATCTTGTAGATTCGAGAACTACCTATCTCCATCATATCTCGAACTGAAGTAGAACGATGCTCCACGCATCTTGACATGCGATTCTTATGTGGCCGAAGATGAAAATGACCTAACATCAAGAGAATCAATCATAAAGACGAGATACGCTAAAAACAGGCGGAAAAGCGCATTTCTCGAGATAGGGGATCTACAAAATCTTTTTTTTCGAGGTCAACCGGGGTTCAAAAAATTTTATCTTTACACAGATCGATAGAGAAAACTTCAGAGTACCTTTAGCAATGAAATACTCAAAATCGAAAGTTTTTTAATTTTCACGTCCGGAAAGGGGGGGAGTGCCCTTAAGTGAATTACTTGATTTTCTGAATTACGATAAAATACGCGTCCATTTGAAGAAAATATTTGATGACGTTTACTCTTTTGAACTCTTTGTCGTGCGGTAGTAAAAATTTTAGCATTTTTTCTTGAGAGATCTTCGGAAATAATAACGTTTTTCATTGGATGATCATTACATAATTGTCTAAAAACTGATTTACACGACAGCAATTCAAAACAACGTGGTCTGGAGTAGAAACGTGCAATCAAAACCGGTGGAAGAGGTGGTTTAGTTGATGTTGAAATTTCCGGTATTTGAAAAATACGATGGGCTGTTTCAATTTCTGTATAATCGAGATAGCATCCGATTTCATTTGCAATGTTCACGGTAACTTGAATTGCATTTTCATCTTTGTGATAAGGTACATTTAATAATTTAATATTGTATGAGCGATTATAACGTTCTGATTCATCTAAACGATTTTCAGTATCAAAAATTTGATATTGTAATTGATTAAGACGTTCAGTTAGACCATCAGAAATGATAGGTTCGAGTAAATCAACAATTGTTTGTAGATGACTATCAATATCAGTCATTTTTAAATCTGAATCTTTTGATATTGTGTCACCCAGTTGCTTTTTAACATCATCATTTTTTAATAGATCAGTGAGTTCATTACGCAAATCGAAGTCAGGCAGGAGTGTAAGACGTTCGCCAGTTTTAGTTCTTTGTGATTTGAACATATTAAATTAGTTATGACAGTGGCTAAAGCAACACTTTATGTATATACGTACTTCTTTATTCAATTCTTTACATATACAAACACATGTCTGATCTCGATGGAAAATAAAGTCAGAATGAAAAATAATAATAATAGATAATTTTTATCCTTTATACCCTGCAAAAAGTATTTTGCTATCCGTGTAGTATAGTATTTGAACGTGGTATTCATCCGGAAGGCAATATTAATCCCACAAATATTTATTACCGATGATTCCGACCATTGTAGAAAACGTTTGGAACGTTTTAATATTCACGCCAATACGACGAACTATAATGATTGTGTTTATATATTACATGAACAATCCCCAGCATCTGTAGCAGTTAAGTTAATATCGAAATTAAAAGAACAACAAGACAAAGAAGATATGCTTTTGGCAGAAGTTTCTTCTGTCATGTATTTACTTAGACAGGGTCTGCCACTACGTGGATATTCTGAAGAAGAAAGCAGCCTTTTTCAATTAATTAAATTGAGAAGCCAAGATATTAGTGGACTAAAACAATGGATTGAAAATGGAAAATATTTATCTCATGATATAGTTAATGAAATTGCTAAAGAAATACCACTAACAATAGTTAGAAATCCAATTACACAGGCATGTAGATTTCTATGAATTACAATTGCATCAAAGATTAGATGATGGTTAGGACTTAGAGAGGAAAAAATTGTGCACGCTAAGTAATTTTTCTTAATAGAAAAGATTCTGTGAATCTACCCTGAATGTCACATAAATGAGTTTGTATTTAATGTTTTCCCTTGTCTGTATTAGATATTAGAAAGTAAATGATTTTCATTGATCTGAGCTGATGAATCTAACAAAAAAACAATTATGCATCACAATTCGTTCAGTAAATGACAAATATAATATATACGAAGATATAATTGGTTTATATGAAAGTGATAAACTAAATGCAACCAGAATTACTGAAGCTATAATTGATGTTCTTGTAAGATGTGGTGTAGATGTTAGTAATTGCCAAGGTCAAGGATATGATGAAGCTGCAAATACGAGCGGTGTACATGAAGAAGTAGCTGCATTATTGTTCAAAAAACAAAAGAAAGCATATACGTGCACTGTAATGCGCACAGCTTGGATTTAGCTATCCAAGATTTATGTCGTCAATGTTCAACAATGGACACGACTATAACGTATACAAAAGATATAATTACTTTTGTTCGCCGAATGCCGAAAAGTTTAGCTATAGCTGAAGAAATATCATATGAAAGTTCAATACTGTATACAAAATTAAAGGCGGGTAGTTCCACAAGGATTCTACCACATTATACAAAACTAGTTACGCCAGCGGCGTAATAAAAATTGCTAGATGCAGTTTTGGACGCTGAGTTCAATGGTGAAAGCTGCAGCTCTCTATCCTTTTCTAAAAAAACGTTATACCCAAAATACTGTCCCAGCGAAAAATGGCGTTTTTCTTCATTTTCCAGTAGAAATGACCTATGTTGCGAAGCTTCGTGTAACTAGAGGACATGTCGTAGAATCTGCATTCTAGCCTCGAATGAAAGAGCTAAGTGACCTCTATACATTTCAGTAAAAAGAACTCGTGCCGGTTCACACCATGTAGGCGAAAAGGCCTCTGGAAACCCAGGAATTCTCTCTTATTATTGCGGGTCAAAACCGATGAAAATCACTTTTTATGTTATTTTTAGCGCAGAATCCAGATCTGACATTAAGACCCTTGTGCGAGAATGTGTTTTTTGTGGGATTTCTAGAAAACTCGTGAGGTTTTGATAGGTTTTAGGACATTTCACAGGGTTTCACTATTGTATACGAAAGGTATGTCTTCTGTTCCTTTCTTAAATAGTTTGTCGGCACTAAAAAAGCCAGTGCGGCTACTGCGGCTTCGAGACATGGCACTCTGATGACGCAGGCAAACTTGGCAGCTGACACTTGGGATTGGTCTTCATGTTTATCAACTGTTGAACATTTCTCTAGTTTAAATAATAAAAAAGTTCCAGCTTAAAAATAACTTGGATACACTGTTCAACACCACACTAGAAAACGATAAAATACTCGATGAAACAAGTGTGGTTAGCAAAAACAAAGTCAAAAGTTATCAAAATTTTTTCATTTTATTCGACGGTTTGATCAAGTCTTTCCGTTTTGCATTGTATCAACGAGCTTAAACTGTGAAGAATTTGTTGGTGACGAGACGAGTTTGCATGAAATTGTATTCTCATCTAATGGCACAAAATGGTGAAATTCTGTAATTCTTTTAATTAAACTTTTAATTTTTTTTTATATTTATATACGTATAGTATTGTTTTTTCTATAATTTAAGATTCCAATCAACCACATTTACTATTAATTGTGGGTCCTCTGATTTTAGGTTTATTATTGATTTTAGGTTGTGGCTGCTTTTGGCTATATCATCTAAAATGGTAATTATTAATATCTTTTTTTTGTACATAAAGTTTTCTGGAGATGATCATTAGGAGCTGTTCAATATTTTCTTATTTATTAACGATTTTTTTATAGGAGTGCTGCGGTACGGCATCGTCGACTGAATAAAATGAGAAAAGACTTGCAACAAGAAATTTTTACATTACCTATTGAAGAAAAAATCAGGAAAATTCGACCAACTAAAAGATTAAAGAATTACTCCTCATCCAGTAGACTCAACACTCAAAAAAGTTTAAATAGTTTTCCGTCCAGTAGTTTAACAGAAACAATGTCAACGTCGATAATTGAATTCGATTTAATTAAAATAGAGAAAAGTGCAAAATCATCTAACGAAGAAAATGAATCGATCAAATCATATCAACAACAAGATCCTAATGAAAATATATCCGCTGTTGGAAATCAATCAAGATCCCGACGTTCTTCTACTACTGTTTCTACACTAACAAAATCATCAAAAGTTCCAAAAAACATTGAGAATAATGAACCGAATAAATCATCAACATCTCATTACCAAGAGAGCGAATTTGTTTCTACATCACCAACTAGAATACATGTTGTAAAATTGCCAAGAAACAAAGTATCACCGTCGTTCGAAACTGGTGTCAATACTCTTTTTTCCAGTCAAATTCCATCGACAGAAATAAATCGAAATGTTCTGGTCAAAACAATTAGCGCCCGCAGTAAAGAAGCCTGTCATACGAGCCGTACGAATACTAAAGTC